GTCCCTTCCAACCCAAACCATTCTATGGTAGAATCATATGATTCTATGATTCCTTACTCTTACTCTCCTTCCATGTATTTACCTATAATTTGGGTCTTACTATAAAAGTCTATCATTGCTCTTTTCTAGTCAGGAATAACCCATTGTGTTTTCTCTAAACTGCGCTACTTTTTTAAAAAAAGTTAGCCTTGACTGATAAAGTGTTATAAAATTTATGTGAAAGACTTTTGAACTGTAGGAAGGCCAGATCCAGTGTTTTAACAGTTCACCAATTCATAGCAAAAAATGGCATAATACCTTGACTACTCACCCTGAACGTGCATCTGACACACATTCTCCACATAAACAAAGAGCATGTTAGAGAAGCTTCTCGCAACCAGAAACAGGTATAACATCCCAAAATGAAATAGTTTTCCAAGAACAGTAGCATTTAAGAGAAAGTCTTACCAGCTGCCATCGTAGGGATCATACTAGAACGTTCTTCATCCATCATAAAAGACCAGTCTTCATAGAAGACACTATAATTTGAAAGGAAAAAAAAAAGAAAAAAAAAGAATATGCAGTGCTATATTAACATATATTCCAATTCTAAAAGACATGAAAACTCTGAAAAATAAGCGGATGGATCAAATTATATGTCACTGTAACTCCCTGAAGCCCTGAAATACATAGAACTGTCTGAACAGTTATCAAAGACATGCTAAGTAGTATTTTATCTTCAGTTTTAGCTCTGCATTTTTTTAATGAGAAAAAAGCCACTCAGGGCAAGGAGGTTCATACTACATTAGCAGTCACAATTTTTCTCTACACCTATTGCTATGCTGCATATATAAGTTTTTAAATAACTATAGTTGAACATAATTAACAAGTCATTTTACAAAATATTAGAACACATGAATACAAACAAAAAGTTCCACTTCATCTTGAGCAACCTGATCTAGTGAAAGATGTCCCTGCCCACAGCAGAGGGGTTGGACTAGATGGTCTTTAAAAGTCCCTTCTAACCCAAACCATTCTATTCTATGATTCGGTGACCTGTTTCAATATCCAAAACCACATCAATTACCCTAAATAGTTAGAGTCAACAAGGAATTTGGATGTAAGGAAAAAAAAAATTAACATGAATTTCACTGTGAACACATGAATTTAGTTGTTCTAAACCTGGTTCTTTTTAGTAGCAGGATGCTGTAAGTTTTACTATCAGCATTCAGTTAACTAAACATAAAAACAGATAGCAAGAAAACCCTCAACCTATATTAAAGAATTTTGACAGAATAATTTAAAAGTTTCCAAAACAGATAAGAATTGAGGATGTAAACTGATTCTGTAAATCCCACTTGAATTTGGATAACATTAAATAACATTTAAATCTTAAATATGCTGGAATAAGCCTTTTTAGAAAATATATTTCATGTATAATGCAGAGAGTGCTGATAATCCTGATACTGCGCAAGTAATTAATGACAGCAATCCAAGTCACTAATTTCCTCACAATAGTTTTCAGATTTTTTTTCCTTTGTCATTTCATTCATCTTTATTTGATTTCCCATCAAAATCTACAGACTGGAACAGAAAAGGAGGTACTAACGAGCTCAGTTCTGGCAATAATCTTACCCAGTACATCCATTAATTCATAGAATCATAGAACACCAGGTTGGAAGGGACCTCAAGGATCATCTGGTCCAACCTTTCTAGCACAATCTAGACGAGATGGCCCAGCACCATGTCCAGCTCAGTCTTAAACATGCTCAGCATAGTGG